ACACTCACTGTACGGAGGACCGCTCGTCGGACAACACTTAGCAGAGAAAGAAACATTATTTTCTCGATTCTAGAGCGTTCCCCCTAGAAAACGTTTTTACGAATAGACAGAGTGAAAGGTCTATTTTCGAACTATGTATGACTTTTACATTTATCATGTTCTGTTTTACTAAAAGTGCTTCTTCTATCTTCATCGCTCTGTTTTCCGGCGAAAACTTTCTTAACGATTTTCTCACTAACTATGGCACTTAGAAAAAACCTTCCAATGCCAAGAAGCTAGAGCGTATGCTGAAATATATGACCTGCTACTCAAATCTTGAAAAAGCACACTTTAGTTTTTTCACGTAAATATGATGTGGGTTGCTCATTGTGCCCCTATGTTAAGTGATCTGTCATGACATTCTATTTCTTTCTTTTTGGGTCGTCTATTTCTGATGAGAGAATGTAGAGTCAAATAGATGAGTGAGTCAGAAGAAAATGGAAAAACCGAGTGGAAACGTATCATAGGTGGAATAACGGTTTTTTGATTATTTGAACAGTAGAACGCGTGGCAATTTTCATGACCTCGCAGATAAAATAGAGTATATCCTTATATTCTGAAGTAGGTTAGATGAATTGCGAGTGAGTCATGAGGTTTTTAAGCTTCGATTAAAATAATGAAAAATTGGTTATTTCACCTATCATAGGTTTTCATTCGGTTGTTGCATTTCGTTTCGAAAACTAACATTGCCACGAGAGTCAGGATGAAGATTTCTAGAGCTTTAGGAAGAATGTTCATAGGTCCCGAACCATGGATTTCTAAGATGCGGCTCAGACACAGTTTTCTAGAGAACGCTTTGGACTATATATCTACGTAAAAAGGTCATAGATCTCTACGCCAAATTTTAGAGAGCCGAACTACTATCCGTTCCAAATGGTCAGACCGCTGGTTGCTCTTTGAATAACTTTTGATAAGAATGAGATAAAGACCTGCAATTTTAACTGTTCAATAGCCAAGACTTGAGCAGAACTTTTCACAAGCGGAAGCAACTTTTGAAAAAATTCCAGAGATCGAGTTTTCAGAGGATCTTTGGAAAACCAGCTCCGTTGTCAGAAAACTAACAGGGTCTACGTCTTTCTTAGACAAAATGTGGCTATAATGTTGTCATATGTGAAAAGATAAAAAAGTAATTTTTTGGCATGCGTCGATAGTTCGGACGTTACTCTACAAAATTATGCAAGTCCCGGCTCTCTCGTTATCGTCGTTCGGGCAGGGCCCGGTTTTCCCGAGCACATGTCTATCTCCGAGCAGACATCTGTGGGAATCTCAAAATGTGGAAGTTTTTTTCTAAGTGCCATAGTTAGTGAGAAAATCGTTAAGAAAGTTTTCGCCGGAAAACAGAGCGATGAAGATAGAAGAACGTTTTTCACAACAATGCCTCTGGCGAAGTTATATTCATTTCTACACAAAAACAAATGTTACTACTATGCTCAGCGTAGTCGATTACCTATAGTCCATGGCATTTTGAGATTCCCCGAGATGTCTGCTCGGAGATAGACACGTGCTCGGGGAAAGCGAGCCTGCCCGAACGACTATAGCCAGAGAGCCGGGACTTGCATAATTTTGTAGAGTAACGTCCGAACTATCGACGCATGCCAAAAAATTACTTTTTTATCTTTTCACATATGACAACATTATAGCCACATTTTGTCTAAGAAAGATGTAGACCCTGTTAGTTTTCTGACAACGGAGCTGGTTTTCCAAAGATCCTCTGAAAACTCGATCTCTGGAATTTTTTCAATAGTTGCTTCCGCTTGTGAAAAGTTCTGCTCAAGTCTTGGCTATTGAACAGTGAAAATTGCAGGTCTTTATCTCATTCTTATCAAAAGTTATTCAAAGAGCAACCAGCGGTCTGACCGTTTTGGAACGGATAGTAGTTCGGCTCTCTAAAATTTGGCGTAGAGATCTATGGCCTTTTTACGTAGATATATAGTCCAAAGCGTTCTCTAGAAAACTGTGACCATTTGGAATGGATAGTAGTTTTTCGCAGATCTCCTGAAAACACCGGACTTTGAAATCTTTCTCAAATTCGTTTTTGCTTATGGAAACATAGCTTCAGGTCTTGACTAGCGAATGATGAAAACCGTAAGTCTCTATCTTTTACTCCTTATAAAAGATCCAAATTTGTCAAAAATGATTGAATGACACATTATTCGATTCAGTTTCTGACGCTAATCACGAATTTGGGCTTGGTTTCGCTTTAAAAAATTTCTTCAAACCAAAAGATGCAAAATAATGTTCTTAAATACTAATGATTTCTATGTGATACCTACTGTCGGGGGCACTAGGGACTTTCAGTGAGCTAACGTTACCCACCGAAATTTTTTCATCGACTGATAGATCAAGGTTGGAACTACTTATGCCAAATATTTCTAAAATTCGTTTTATACCATGGGAGAAAGTCGATTTTGAAAACTGACATTTTCAGCTAATACCGCCACTTGTACAATTCCCTTTCTAATATCAAACTGACGGATTTAATCTGTCGAGAGATATACAATGTCTGTAAAGATATTTAAAATATGTGCTTTGTTTCGCTTGGTGTCCTTCTATTTTCGTACGAATAAGTACATCTTGGTTCTATTCCTTGAGAGAGATATAAAATTAATAGATCTTGAAAAGGAAAACAAAAAAAAATGAAATTATAAATACGAGATCGTTATATATAAATATATTCGCATAAGGACATTCTACCAGGAGACATTTTCTGGAGGACCTTTTTCCATGGACATTTCATCGGGACGTTTTTCCGAAGGGCATTTTTCCCAGGACTATTTCGCATAAGGACATTTTTAGCCAGAGACATTTTCTTGAGGACATTTTTTCCGATGGACATCTTGCCTGAGACATTTTGTTGAGGACATTTTCCCGCAACGGCATTTTCCCATAGGCCAATTTTTTTTTGACATTTTCTCCGGGACATTTATGCGGGAACATTTTGAAAAGGACATTTATGACCTATAGCATTTTGTCTGACTAGGTGCTAGGAAGTGGACGATCGACATGCATATTTTACAAAAATAAATCTTTTAGTTTCGAACGGCAACAATGCTGAAAACAAAAATGTGGAGAGACAGCATTAATGTCTCACTTCAATTTTGAAAAAAATTATTACTCCTCCCATCTAACAAAAAGAAACAGATATTGAACTTGATATATTTAGCTAGAGGCAGTGTGTCGGTCATCCAGTGATCATCAGTGTCGGTGTGTCAGTATGTCAGTGTTCATCAGTGTCAATGCTTCAGTGTTTCAGTGATCGTCAGTGTCGGTGTCATCAGTGTCAGTATCTCAGTGTTCGCACCGACACTGAGCCATCCCTAATTTTTCAAAAGTAGGTCGAAATTTTAAAATACTCGTTTCTCAGCAGACGAACAATATTTTTTCAAACGAAAAACGCCATTTATTGTGATCTGCCTTCCCCAGCAGCTCATAAGGTTCATTCTCTCTTCATTCTGCTCTTGTATCATTCTTGCGCAACTCTTGTTTCATTCTTTCGTTTTCGTTTCCTTCCGCAGTGTATTTTCCCAACTCTTTCTGTTCTTATGAAACTCATGCGCAACTCTTGCAAAACTCTTGTATAACTTTTGTACTATATATAGCCGTTCATTTGCTTCAAATAAAGATATAGGAGTGAGAATTGGTTCTCACAGCAACTACACTTCTACCATTAGAATTAGTCACTAGAGGATCCATATCCTCATACCATTTTACTCAGAAAGGTCTATATCTTCTTTTATGACTAGTTTGAACGAGTTCGGTGACACACGTTTGAGCAGTGTCCGTCGTCGCTCATACTAGATAGCTCCTAAGCACTCCTTCTCTTTATAGAAATATAAAGAAGCATCTTTCATCAAAATTCACTCGGTCTCATTTCTCTTGTTTTAGTCTTTTGACATCTTTGAGCATTGCGTTTTCATTTAAATAGCACTTAATTTCTTCTTGAACAAGGTATAATCGTCTACAGACATTTTAATTTTCCTCGATTTCACGCTTATTGCTACATTATATGTTTTGCCCACGAGATTGGCCCACCTTTATTTCAAGTATTCCATTCTTCACCTTTTACCATTGATTTTTAATAGTTTAAAATCTTTCACACTCCAACAAATAATAACGTGTAATTTTGTTTTTAAAGAGTTGCACAATTCGTATTGTAAACAGGAAAAAGCCTTCTTTGAATTCTTGTTCTTTATTTTAAGAACAGAATCATACGATGAAAATAAACTTGAATTTTTTTTTCCATTGTGGCTATATTGATTGAAAAAGAACGCCTTTTTGCTTTTCGTTTTCAGAAAAAGTAAACGTATTTTTTTACTTTTTACCAAAGTAATAATAGATGCTTAATATGAATTCGTCAATAATTGATCAGCACTGTAAAATAATACAGGAACGAAATGGCATATCTATTGAAGAACTGAAACCATTGCTTGATGATATTGTACAAGAATTGAATAAATTAAAAACGGATGCTAATAACAAAGTTATATTTAATAATAGTCTGCAAGAAATTCTCAATGTGTCAGATAATCTTGACATAAATCATGAATCATTTTTCATATTTCGTGATACACTAGTAACTTTGTTAAACAAATGGGATAATTTAAGTGAACAAGAAACAAAACTATGTCAGAAAATTACTGTTTTATTTTATTCTATTATGAATGGAGTCAATGAAACAAATGTTACAAAATGTAAAGCTTTATTCTGTAATAAAACATTTATTGACCCAGTAAAATCATATGTTGATGCTGTAACTAAAAATATAAAACATTCTGAATTCAATACACACCTATCAAATCTTAATTACATCGTACTTGGATTGAATGGCCTTCAGATGAAACAAAAAGAACTACAAGATGATCCAGCATTACTTACGCTATTAGATTCACTAGTAAATTTGATCTGTTCACACTGTTATATTGACACATTTAAACAACTTGAATTTGAATCATCACCACTTGGAATAAAGCAAAGTTTTCTGTTACTAACATGTCCATATTATATTATTAATTATGATGGGAAACGTGTACACGACATTTCGGAAGTAATATCTAATTTTTTGCTTCCTAGTTACTGTCTGGATATATTACAAAGATTTACACCCATAATATCCACGTGGACAGATGAATTTATTCAATGCATGTCAAATTTTATATCTATGTTACAATATATTGTATTTGGTGATAGTAGAAAACTTTATGGTCATATACACTTGAGATTAATTGATTATATTTATATTATCTTAATTGAATTTACATTAGAAAAAATTGAGAAAGAAGCACATCTAAGTAACTTAATATTATACACAATCGTTTATTTATACAGTCTTACATTTGATCCATCATTATTAACATGCATTAAACTACAACAAAAATTTATACAAATATTATTAAAATTAGTCGAAGTAAATAATCATCGTATTCAAGTGAATGCTTATCGCATTATAGCAACAATTATGAGTGAAGATGACGTAAAACGATTAGAAAATCCTGGCAAAATAACACATGTATTCATTCATTATATCGAATTATTTATTGATAACGTGTACAGGAGAACAGTATTAGAAAATACACTATTAGGATTAAAAAGTAGGTTACTGTTGTCATTTTATGAGTGTTCAGTGCCGCTAAGAATCAGTCGACAGCATTTTTAGGCTCATCCACGTTCAGATATATTTGAATAACTTTTGAAGGAAGAAGATCTTCATAGATCTCGCTTATCTCGCTGTTATTCAAATTTAACTCTGAGCAGAGAGTTTCAATAGAGTTTTTCATTATATATCATTATGTCCCCAGTTTAACTCAATTCCGTCGCCTGTGACTACATATCGGATAGTCTTAAAAGGACTTTAGAAAATTTACATTAGACCCATTTACTAGCACGTTTGTGCACGACGGGACTGTAGTAATACACTATCCACTCCTAATCCTAATTAGACATATCTGTGACGATTGCGAACTAATTGTACCGTTTGCGATAAAACTTTTTCTAAAAACTAGAGGTGCATCTCAAATTTTTCTACAACGGTTTTTCAAAATAATTTAAGCTTTTTTAACGCAGTGTGTGAGAAGGAGAACATATAACGTAAAAATGTTGTAGATAAGTAGCTGAAAAGTCTTTCTCCGACAGAACTAGTAAGGCACGTCTTAGAGCGATATTTGGACAATATCCTAGCAAATAGTGTAATAAATTAAGAGATTAAGTTAAGAACTCAAATACCATTGCATTTCGATAATCTATAGAAATAGTGTTTAGACGATTTATAATTAAGAGATTTTAAATGCTCAGGGTACTCCTAATAATTTCTACAAAACTCGTTGTCTTATATTTTTATAAAATCTACTTTATTCGAGGCAGATTCTTACGGCGATAACCAGTATCAACATTTAAAGTAGCAAAAATGTTATTTTGGCTGAGAAAAGTGGATTTTGCGGAAAAAATGTGATGAAACAAAACGCGGAAACGGAGGTTTGATCAATATTTACAACGTTTCTTCCGAACGTCAGAAAGTTAGAACTTGAGAATCTGGAAATCTGTTCTGTATTCCAAGTTTCTGAAAAAAGTGGTGTACAGATCCTTTTAGGCAAATTTGGCTAACGTTAGCAGTAGCTGAAGGCCTAGTTTAAACAGCCAGTCAGACTAGCCACAAGTATGAGGAATCGTTCAATTTGATCACGCATTGAACGAGATATAGGCGTGGCTATGTTTTATGTGAAAACGGTACAAATGGTTTGCAAACGTTCCGGTTGAATTTTTTAACTACTTTTACCATAAAATAGTCATTATAGATATAGGTTTGTTAAGTGACTTTTCTTTCTAGTATCTTGATCCCCAATAACTCGATTTAAAAATCATCGACGGAAACTAGTGTGATAAACCAGTAAAAGAATCCCTTTGATACACATACAATTTCTGCACTATGGCACCTACAGAGTAACATTAAAAGAAAGATAACTAAATTATGCAGTTCTGGCGTTCTAGCCGCAAGTACGAGTGTTGAGTGTCCCTTGTTCATATTTTAGTGTACTGGTTGAGTTACCTACAATACTTTCACGAGTTTCTTGGCCATTCTGTTAGGGGTAGGATAGTTTCAGTTCTTATAGTTCCCAAGGGCTGGTTGAAAGAGCTCCTGAATAGTTCAGTCCTTTTAAACGAGCACTTGTACCAGTTCTTTTCAAAAGAAAAACTGATCACCCACTCCTTCGATCAGTCCTTGGGAACTATAACAACTCGCACCGTCAACTATTCCTATCAAACGGTTCCTTCTTCGATGGAGAAAGGTTATTAGCTTGCATATCTGCGAACTGTTATAGTTGAAAGATGACCATTTAACCTATATTTTCATAAGCAAAACCGTTTCTCGAAAGCATTCGAAAGATCAGTGTTTTTTCATAGACAGATATTCCAAAGTGTCCTCTAAAAAGTGAGACCTAGGCAAAAGTTCATTTTGATTGGTTCAGAAGCTTTGAAGAATATTCGCGAAACCTAAGACTTCTCTATTGTTCGGCTTAGAACCTACAAAAATGCATGACAACTTAGGTTATCGACTATGCTGAATCGTGTGGTAATGTCTTTTTGTTTTTGGAATGGAATTTCTTTGATTGATGGCGCACCAGCACCATTAATACTCAGTTTCACCATGCAGAAACGACTTTTTAAATACTTAGGGCAATCCAAAAGTAGTGAGGGAGGTACTTTATTTTCTTAAGGAGCGCTTCAAAAACATTTCTCTTTTAATGAACAGATAGAGCGTCTTTCGCTCTATTTTTCTATGCTATTTGATCAAT